CCCCGCACTTGAGAGTCTGAGACTAGAGGATTGTGAATTGAGGCTAGCCTGTGCTATGTAGTTAGCAAGACCCTGGCTCAAAAAAACAAGAAAAAGAAAAAGCATAATTTAAAACCTATAGTGTAATGAGAACAGTCTTAAGTTAAATTTTTTATGTAAACCATATGTGGTTTAAAACAATGCTATAATAAGCCAGGTGCTGGTGGCTCATGCCTGTAATCCTAACTATTTAGAGGAGGTTGAGATCTGAAGATTGTAGTTTGAAGCCAATCCAGGCAGGAAAGGCCATGAAATTTAGCTACAATTAACCACCAATAAACAAAGTGGAACTGTGGCTCAAAGTGGTAGAGCCCTAACCTTGAGCAGAAAAAAAGCTCAGACACAGCGCCCAGGCCCTGAGTTGAAGCCTCATGACTGAGCAGAAAAGGAGGAGGAATGGGGGAGTAGGGGACTATAAAGTTAAGAGACAAGAACCTGAGAAAATACTTTCAATAAAAAGACGTGGGGTTGGAGGTATGGCTCAATTGTAGAGCACTAGCCAGTGACTGAAAATGGCAGAAACCAAGTTTGAATCCTGGTCTCAGATCTAAAGAAAAAAAAAAAGGCTCTGTGTGTTTGTGAGAGAGAGAGGGAGAGAGGGGGAGAGGGGGAAAGAGAGAATTCTGGCACCTAACACAGGGCCTGGGTGCTGTCCCTGAGCTTGCATGCTCAGGGTTAGCACTCTACCACGGGAACCACAGCTCCATTTCTGGCTTTTTTGGGTAGCTAATTGGAGATAAGAGTCTCTTGGATGTTCCTGCCTAGGCTGACTTCAAACTGTGAAACTCAGATCTCAGCCTCCTAAGCAGCTAGGATTATAGGTATGAGCCACCAGTGCCCAGCTTGCTTATTTCTTACATTAAAAAAAAAAAGTAGCAGTGATTAGAAAAAATGAACAATATAAACCGACCATTAAGAAAAAAGATGTAGGGTTAATAAGAGAAATGGTTAATATTTTAAAGAGAAAAGCAGTTTAAACATTTGTGGAGCCATCTCTGCAAAGCTTAACATCAGGGTTTCAGCTTGAGCCTCTCTCCTCCAGCCAGCCACTGGGCAGCTTCCCAACCAACCTTCCTGGAGCCCTTTCAAGCCTTGGACCAAACGAAAATAAAGCTTTTTGCAGACAAAAAAAAATTGTGGTGACATAGATAGTGGTTCCACCTACGTGAAGTTAATTCTACATCTCTGCAGAGATCTCTTACCAGGGAGGTCCTTCTGATAGTTTCTGTCCGTTTCTCTATATCCTTTTACCTCCCCAGCCAGCACAGGTAGCACATTACATTACAAAGTGCTATGTTAAATATAAGTACCTCGCTAGAATAAATAGAAGTGTAGTTTTTTTTTTGTTGTTGTTGTTTGTTTTTTGTCAGTCTGGGGCTTGAACTTTGGGCCTGAGCGCTGTCCCTCAGCTCTTCAGCTCAAGGCTAGCGCTCTACCACTTGAGCTACAGTGCTACTTGGGGTTTTCTGGTGGTTTGTTGGAGATAAGAGTTTCACAGACTTTCCTGGCCAGGCTGGCTTTGAACCGCGATCCTCAGATCTCAGTTTCCTGAGTAGCTAGGATTATAGGCGTGAGCCACTGGCTCCCGGCTAGGGGTGTAGTTCTGTTGGTAGAGGACTCATCTAGCCATTTCCAAAAGCCCTAAAGCATTCTAAACAGTAAATGAATGGATTAAATAAAACAATACAAGAAATGTTGATACTAAACCAAATCAGCATCAGATTAACAAAAAAATACCTTTTGGAAGCAAGATTTAATTTTTTTTGTTGTTTTTGGTCATGGGGCTTGAACTCTAGGCCTGAACACTATCCCTCAGCTCTTCAGCTCAAGGCTAGCATTCTACCACTTGAGCCAAAACTCTACTTCCAGGATTTTGGTGGTTAATTGGAGATGTGACTCACAGACTTTTCTGCCCTTGTTGGCTTACCTACCCCAGACTTGGACTTGCCCTGGGTATCTGATACTTTTGCTTATTGTCTGGCACTCTACCACCTGAGCCATACCCCCTCTCCCATTGATTTTGAACCTTGATTCCCAGATGTCAGCTGCCTGTGAGTAGTTAGGATTACAGGCATGAGCTGCTAGCACCAGCTTCATAAATCCTTTAGAGATGTTTAATAAAGCATATAACATTGTAGACTCTTGGAATGACGCCTTCATAGCGTGGAGTAGAAGAACGCTTCATTCAAAATCACATTCCATAAAGCAACTCACTTCTACTTTTTGCAGCAGTGTTGCAAGACTGTAGAGTACACATTTGTCTGTGTCGTAAAGAAAGAAGATGGAAGTTTTGCCGGAACCGCGTAGACCTTCAGCACGCCTGGAGTGTGACCACTGTGGGTTCCGAGGCACTGATTATGAGAATGTGCAGATCCACATGGGTACTATCCACCCTGAATTCTGTGATGACATGGACACTGGGGGGTTAGGTAAAATGATATTTTACCAGAAGAGTGCAAAGCTCTTTCACTGCCATAAGTGCTTCTTCACCAGCAAGATGTACTCCAACGTGTATTATCATATCACCTCCAAACATGCAGCCCCAGAGACATGGACTGATAAACCAAAAAACCAGTTGAACAAAGAAGCAGATCCTGTGAAAAGCCCATCTCCTCCTGAGAATCAGAACATACCGTCTAGCCCCACAGAACCAAAGTCTGTGTCTGCTTTCTCCATGGAAGCACAGAAACTTAGTCCTGGATTGTCTCCAGAGTCACCAAAACCTGCCCCTCCTATTCTTCTGGAGCCTCAGAAGCCTGGCCTTGTTCCTCCTGAGCCACTGAAAACGTCTCTTTCCTCTGAACTTCCAAAACCAGCCTCTGTGGTTTCTGAAGTGCAGAAGCCTGGCCTTGTCCCTTCTCCAGAGCCACAGAAGCCTGCTCCCATGTCTCCTGAGCCAGTGAAGGCTGCTCATGTGAGCCCCAAGGCTCAGAAGCACTCTCCTTTTGCAGATATTGGTCCTCCCCCTTCAGCCTCTTCTCCAGAGTCACCAGTCCTGGCTGTTTCACCTGAACCTTGGGGGCCATCCCCAACTGCATCTCCAGAGTCTCGGAAGCCAGCCAGGTCTGCCTCTCCTGAACCAAGGAAACCATCACCTTCAGAATCCCCTGAACCTTGGAAGCCATTCTCTACCATTTCCCCGGAGCCACGTAGACCAGCCCCGGCTGTGTCCCCAGGTTCCTGGAAGCCAGGGACACCTGGGTCCCCAAGGCCTTGGAAATCCAGTCCCTCTGTATCACCAGGACCTTGGAAGCCAACTAAGCCTGCTTCATCTATGTCTCCTGGACCTTGGAAGCCAATTCCTTCTGTGTCACCTGGACCTTGGAAACCAACTCCATCTGTGTCCCCTGCATCCTGGAAGTCATCATCAGTTTCACCTGGTTCCTGGAAAACTCCTCCCACATCTCCAGAGTCATGGAAGTCTGGCCCACCAGAGCTCCGAAAGACAGCCTCCACCTTGTCACCTGAACATTGGAAGGCAGTTCCCTCTGTGTCTCCTGAGCTTCGTAGGCCAGGCCCACCACTCTCCCCAGATATCCACAGCCCAGCAGGGTCTCCAGAGCTCAGGAAACCCTCAGGGTCACCAGATCTTTGGAAGCTTTCACCTGACCAACGGAAAGCTGCCTCTCTTGATTTTTCTGACCAGAAAAGTTCCCGTGGTGGCTCACCAGACCTCTGGAAGCCTTCCTTTAGCATAGAACCTCAGAAATCTGTCTTCCCTGATGCCAGGAAATTGGGTCCTTCTGGGCCATCTGAGCCTCCCAAAGTGACATCAGATATCTGGAAGCCTGTCCTCTCTATCGATGCTGACCTTAGGAAGTCTTCACCATTTTCTGAGTCCACCAAAGTAGTGCCACCTGTTTCTCCTGAGCCACGGAAACGTGCACTTTTCCCTGAGACCCGGAAGCATGCCCTTTTCCCTGAACTCCCCAAACCTGCCATGTTCTTAGAGTCTCAGAAGGCAGCAGAGCTTGGAGATGAGCTACAGCTAGATGCTGGAGATGAGGAAAAATGTGATGCTTTGGTTCAGGAAGAACTTCTGGCTACACCTAAGAAACTCTTAGAAGATGCCTTATTTCCTTCCTCTAAGAAGCTCAAGAAAGACAGCCAAGAGAACTCAGATGCTGAACTTAGCAGCAGTGAATACATCAGAACAGACTTGGACACTACAGACATTAAGGGCCAAGAATCAAGCAGTGATCAAGAACAGGTGGATGTAGAATCCATTGATTTTAGCAAAGAGCACAAAATGGATATGACTAGTCCGGAGCAATCAAAACATGTGCTGCAGTTCACCGAAGAAAAAGAAGCATTCATCTCTGAGGAGGAGATTGCAAAGTATATGAAGCGTGGAAAAGGGAAGTATTATTGCAAAATCTGTTGCTGTCGTGCTATGAAAAAAGGTGCTGTTTTGCATCACTTGGTTAATAAGCATAATGTCCACAGTCCATACAAGTGCACAATTTGTGGGAAGGCATTTCTTTTGGAATCTCTCCTTAAAAATCACGTAGCAGCCCATGGGCAGAGTTTGCTTAAATGTCCACGTTGTAATTTTGAGTCAAATTTCCCAAGAGGCTTTAAGAAACATTTAACTCATTGTCAAAGCCGGCATAATGAAGAGGCAAATAAGAAGCTGATGGAAGCTCTTGATTCACCATTGGAGTCTCAGCAGATCTGATTTTTAAGGACAGCGTGAGTATTTGTTCGGCAGTGTCATTTGCTGACTGACATAGTTCATTAGCCTAGTTGGATCAGTATATGGTGATGTTCATGGTGTACTGTGTTGAATGTCTCTAGTGTTGCAAAGGAAGCATTTGGTTATTTTTTTTTTTCATGTTACCTGTTTATGTGTCTTATCTTGTAAGTCAATAAATTTGTACTGGGTATTCCAGATGGATAACGTTTCTTATTTAAGTATATTTGAATAGTAATGCAAAGGAGTAGATATTCCATTTAGTAAATAAGAACAAGTTATAAACACCCAGTTAAAATGTATGTGAAACTGATTTCAGATAATAGATATTATTAAGTGGAGAGCTCAGTAGTTTCCCTAGCCTGTGTGAGACCCTGGGTTCAATCCCTTGTACCTAAAAAGAAAAAAAAAAATTATTAGGTGAAATGCATAAGTATTAGGCATGAAAAGTAAAGTTGGAAAAGAAAAAGTTCTTCCCTTTACTGAATGTATTTTCAAATATGAGTTATTTTGTTTGATCATGTCAAATTAGTTTATAAATTTTTTAAAACAGTTTCTAGGTGTTTATTAGCTTTGATATCATGGAAAGGTGTAGTCAGTCCTCAGGGTCACTGATTTTCTGCCAACTAGGAAAGTTGAGTAAGTCTTGAAGGTGGTCTGCAGTCCTCTATAGGAGGTGAAGAGAAGGATAGTGTATTGGGAGTTTGCTTTTGTCCTTCATTATTTCCAGGAGAGTCTTCCATGTGGTGTCTTGCCCTTCACTTTCCTGCCAGCTCACCCTAACAGATGACCTTTAAGTTGTCAAATGTGTTAAGAGTTTATACTTCCTAATCCTGAACCTTACGTGCCCCTATTAAGGTTTAAGCCCAGGGCAATGGGTAGGAGCTGAAAGTCTTCCAGATCCATAGTAAAACGTTTTATAAACAGAACCAGGCATGGTGGTGCATATCTGTAATCCAGCTACTCAGGAGTCTGAGTGCAAGGATTGTTTGAGATCAGTAGTTAAAAGACCATCCTGAGTAGCGTAGTGTAGCCCTATCTCAAAACAACACAAGTGGACATTTCTGTTTTGAGAACTGTTTCAATTTTGTTTTCCATGGTTTTGTCACTGTAAATACCTCAGACCTGTTCATGGATTATTTTATTCTAAACTATTTAGTCAAATGTGTTACCAACCAAATTAAAAAGGCTTTCATGTCAGCAGTGTCTTCATGTGATTTCTTATGTGTAATTGCAATAGTCAGACTCTTGTTGCTATGGCAAATACATACGGGAAACAATTGAAAGGATGAAAGGTTTAATTACGGTTGATGGTTTCAGAGGTTTCTGTCTATGGCCAGCTGGCACTATTGTGTTTATCCCTGTAACAAGGCTGAAACACTATGAAGGAAGTGCCAGGAGATGGAAAGCTCATGGCATCCAAAGAGATCACAGGAAGGAGGCAGGGCCAAGATACACCCCTTAAAGGGACACTCCCAAAGACCCACTTCCTCCAGCCAGGCCCCACCTTCCCACAGTTCCATCACCTCCCAGTAATCTATCCATAGTTTGACTCTGTCAGTAGATTAAAACCATTGACCAAATCAGAGCCATTGTGATCCAAATGGTTTCTGGAAATGCTCTCACAGACACAGTGTGCTTTACTATTAGCATTCAACGAAGTTGACCAGCAAAATAAACCATCACAGTAATTTTCATTGTGTAATATCCAAATTCCATTTTTTTTTTTTTTTTTGTCGGTCGTGGGGCTTGAACTCTGGGCCTGGGCGCTGTCCCTCAGCTCTTCAGCTCAAGGCTAGCGCTCTACCACTTGAGCCACAGCACCACTTCCGGCTTTTTTCTTTTTGCTTATGTGGTGCTGAGGAATCGAACCCAGGGCCTCAGGCATGCAAGGCAAGCGCTCTACCACTGAGCCATCTTCCCAGCCCCTCCAGTAGTTCTTGACTTTTTTCCCCCTCCAATCCTGGGACTTGAATTATGGTCCTGGGTGCTGTCTCTGAGCTTTTGTGCTCAAGGCTAGCCATTCTACCACTTGAGACACAGCTTTATGTCCAGCTGTTCTTGTAGTTTAGTGGAGATCAGAGAAAGTCTCACAGACTTTCCTGCCTTGGCTGTCTTCAAATTGCAACCCTCAATCTCAGCCTCCTGAGTAGCTAGGATTACAGGTGTGAGCCACAGCATTGGGCTCAACCCTTTCTGTTTCCATTTTGCATTGAACATCATTTCTGAGCTGTGTTTTCTTTGAGCTCTGTAATCAAATGGTGTGTAGGATATCTCTACACACTAGTTTGTACAAGATTCGTTGAGCCCGGTGCTTGCTTCATTTCAGGTGTGATGGAGATTCTGATGCCTTGCCAGAATTGAGACAGTGGATCTCAATGAGCTATTTGACCTCAGAACCTTAAAACCCTGTTTAGTTGAACCATTTTTCCTACTGGAAAGTGTTACTCTCCAAGAACCACCTGAGTCAGGATAGATGTGAAAACAATTGTCTCAGTAAGGCAAAGTTTACTTCTGGTGGTTGTTTCTCTTTCTTACTTTGAAAAAAAAGTTATGTACAGAGGGGTTAAGTTACATAGGTAAAACGTACATTTCTTTTTAGACAATGTTGCCCCTTCCCTTTCTGTCTCCCAGTTTTTCCCTCCTGTTTCCACCCATGTTACAGTTCATATTCAACAGTGTCTGCTGCATTTGTTTACCCTTTTTCCTCCATTTCTGTGCCCTCCCTCTTTTGCCCTTTCAGAGACAGATAACACACAAGATAAAAAAGAAAACAAAAACAACAAAACCTCCTGCTTCTATTTCCTTGATCTTGTTTCAGTATTTTTTTTTTTTTTTTTGGGTCCGGTTGTGGGGCCTGAACTCTGGGCCTGGGCGCTGTCCCTCAGCTCTTCAGCTCAAGGCTAGCGCTCTACCACTTGAGCCACAGCGCCACTTCCGGCTTTTTTTTCTTTTTACTTATGTGGTGCTGAGGAATCGAACCCAGGGCCTCAGGCATGCAAGGCAAGCGCTCTACCACTGAGCCACCTTCCCAGCCCATTGTTTCAGTATTTTTTATGAGAGACATATAGGCATTGCTCCTTTGTGTACCTCCCCTTTGGTCTCACTGTGTGTGAATGCCTAGAGTCCTATATAATTCATTATGTCCTGGTGTACTTTAGATCTAATTTCCACATATGAGAGAAGAAAACGTGCTGTTTGTGTCTGAGCTTGGCTTGCCTCACTTAACATGGCTTGTTCTAGGTTCATCCATTTCCCTGCAAATGACCTAATGTAATAGCTGTGCAATATTCCACCATGTATAGTTACCACATATTTTGGATCAATTCATCTGTTGCAGGGCATCTGGGCTGTTTCCATAACTTGGCTATTGTGAGTAGTACAGCAATGTATGTGGATATGCATGTGTTCTTAAGTATTCCTGGCTTATGATGTTCTGGGCAGATGCCCAGTAGTAATATGGCTGGGTCATAGGGAGGTAGGTTTTTGTTGTTGTTGTTGTGATGTACAGAGGGGTTACAGTTTCTTGTCAGACAACGAATACATTTCTTTTTGAATAGTATCACCCCTTCACTCTTTCCCAGTTTTTCCATCTTGTCCCTCCCACCAGAATTCACTTCTGCAGAAGGGTTTGTAATCAGCCAAAAGTTTGACAAGCAAGCACACAGAGCAGGCAGGTTGCTCGCTATTTATCCCTAACATAGTAGGCCCTGCCCTTCTGCTTGGATTGGTTGAGTTCAAGTCCACAATCTGCTCATAATTGGCTAGTTTGAAGAGGGTAAGATGTATTTACATAAAGTGACCCTTTAAAAGTCTTGGAGGGGGGGGCTGGGAAGGTGGCTCAGTGGTTGAGTGCTTGCCTTGCATGAATGAGGCCCTGGGTTCAATTCCTCAGCACCACATAAGCAGAAAAAGCCAGTGCTGTGGCTCAAGTGGTAGAGTGCTTGCCTTGATCTGAAGAGCTGAGGGACAGCGCCCAGACCTAGAGTTGAAGCCTAGGACTGGCAAAAAAAAGTCTTGGAGGGCTGGGGTGGTAGAGCACTTGCCTTGCATACATGAGGCCCTGGGTTCGGTTCCTCAGCACCACATAAGCAGAAAAAAAAAAAAAGCCAGAAGTGGTGCTGTGGCTCAAGTGGTAGATTGCTAGCCTTGAGCTGAAGAGCTGAGGGACAGCGCCCAGGCCCAGAGTTCAGGCCCACGACTGGACCCCCCCAAAATAAATAAATAAAGTCTTAGAAATAAGATGCCAGGGCTGAGAAGGTGGCTCAGTGGTAGACTGCATGCCTTGCATGCCAGAGGCCCTGGGTTCGATTCCTCAGCACCACATAAGCAAAAAGAAAAAAGCTGGAAGTGGCGCTGTGGCTCAAGTGGTAGAGTACTAGCCTTGAGCTGAAGAGCTGAGGGACAGCACCCAGGCCCAGAGTTCAGGCCCCACAACCGGACCCAAAAAATAAAAAAAAGAAATAAGATGCCAGGGACTGCAGAAAGGCAGCGAAGAAGGTCAGATCTGCCCTGAGGACGGCCCTCCCCCCTCTTCTCCACCTGCCTGCCTGCCAGCCAGTCAGCAGAAACCCTGGGCTCAGGTCACTCCTGAGCTGCCCTGGCCCTGCCTCCCTCCCTCTCCTATAGACACTGACTTGACACAAGGCCCTCACTCTCTTTTCTCCCTTTTTCAGGTAGAAAAGGAGTTTATTGGGGGGAGAGCAAACTGCGGGCCTGCAAGAGATGGAGACAGGTGGAGATGGGGGCTGGGGAGGGTGTGTGGGAACGTAGGATAGCACATTGAGGGCCTTGTGTGGAGCCAGAGTCTATAGGGGAGGCGGGACCAGGGTGGCTCAGGAAGTGACCTCAGAGCCTGGGGTCCTTTGCTGTCTCACAGTCAGGTGATTGACAGGTGATTAATGGTTTCAGGCCAGTGGAGAGGAAGGGGGAAAGGGGCTGTTCTCCCAGACAGACCTAACAGAATAATAATAGAGAGAAAGTGGTAGGTAAAATAAGTTACCAGTGAAAGAAAGGAGAAAAAACTAGGCAGCAGTGACTGTAACCTGCAGTCCCAGCTACTTAAGAGGCTGAGATGTAAGTATTGTGGTCAAAGACATCTGGAGCAGGAAAGTCTGTGAGACTCCTATCTCCAGCTAATCACCAAAAAGCTGGAAGAAGAGCTGTGGCTTAAGTGATGGGCAAAGAAGCTAAGGAACAGTGCCCAGACCTTGAGTTCAAAGCCCAGTAATGGTACAAAACTAGAACACAAAACAGCCAATTTTTCTTGTTGAGGGTAAGAATACCTGCCATCTGGGCTATATCACTAGCAACTGGGCTCTTAGTTCCTGAAAGCAGTTCCTACTAGAATCTATGATGCACCAGTGTAGTAGCATACTAGGGGAAGAAAAGGGATTCTATCTCATTGGACTGCACCATTTGCCCCATCCAGGTTGCTATATAAGAGCCCTAACAGTGCCCCAGGGTAAGATAGGCTGGAGGAGGTTCCTAGGGCCTTGTCTTCTGGCTTTAAAAAAAAAAAAGGCCACCTGCTCAGTGTGTCATTGAAAACCCACCACCCCATTTGGGAGGCTGAGTGGGGAGGGTTCTTGGTAGGGCGTGGTAAATGGCAAGATGATCACAATGTTGCTCTGTTTTGTCATCTATAGAGGCTGGAATGTGCTGGATAGTATCCCTCCTAAAATTGTATGCACTGCCTAATCCCAGGACCTTTGAGTGAGACCTTATTTGGAAAAAGGATCTTTCTAGAAATGATCTTGAGACCATCCTGAACTACTCTAGTGGACCCTAAATCCAATCACAAGTAACCTCTTAAGAAAAGACAGACACAAGTCTACTTGTGTGTTACTTCCTCCCTGAGAGCAAGAACAGGCCTTCCCCTTGTTCATCCTGAGTATATGGGCATATAAATCTACAGAGGAACGCAGCACAACACATTTTACCTTTCTTTGCATATACACACACTGTGAGGTCAGCACACATATATTGAATTCTTACAATGTGCCAGTCTTTGAAGGTGGGTGGGTGTTGGAGTAACAATGATGACCCCAGTGATGGGTTTCATGATAACTTTTTCTGAGAAAACTCATCTCTAAAATCTGGAGTAATCCTGAGATTCACAGATGAGTTTATCAAACCCCACAAGAGACCAACTAACAGGAAAATAGCCCTTAAACAATCTTTGCATCTTGTTTAAGGCCTCTTTGTTTTCCCTGTGGATCATGCTGGGTTTTACTGCTACCCATTAGGTGAGTGGAATGTAGCCACAGATCACAGCCAGGAGAAATTCAAGGTGCCAATTACTGGCTCTTTTGTCTGCCACATTTCTTCAACCGTTATGAAAACATTTCAGAGATTGATTTTGAAATAAAAAACTTCCTTATAAGAAAAAAATAAAAGGGGCTGGGAAGGTGGCTCAGTGGTAGAGCGCTTGCCTTGCATGCATGAGGCCCTGGATTCGATTCCTCAGCACCGCATAAGCAAAAAGAAAAAAGCCGGAAGTGGCGCTGTGACTCAAGTGGTAGAGTGTTAGCCTTAAGCAAAAGGAGCCCAGGACAGCACTCAGGTCCAGAGTTCAAACCCCAGGACCAGCAAAACTAAATAAATAAAAGGAGAGCTATAAGAGTAATTGTCAAGAGTGGAAGCATACTTTCTGAGATAATTTCTCTCAATGGGGAGAAGGATCAGAGAACACTGTGAGGTAAATAGAAATATCTTCTTCAAAGAAACCATGACCATATTTTCCTCCAAGGCCACCAGCAAGTAAAATCCTAGAACAGTCCAATAAGTTTTGGTACCCTGAAATCCACTGAACTGTGCTTAGGCTAGGAACCAGCTAATAGAAACTGCTGAGAGCAGGGAAGCCATTGTTTCCCAAAGCTTTGGCTTTCCTAGTTAACAAAGTGGGGCCCAGTGCTGCCTTTTGCCTTTGTCCTACCCTTCAATTTCACCATTTTTCCTAGTGGTTTTCCTTGGTCTTGCATACTCATGTATGAGTATGCACACAAAATCACATTCCTCTAGATCCATTTTCTCATAGAACTAGGAAGCAGAATCCAAGTGCTTGACATACTAAGGACAGACAATGCAATGCCAAAATGTTTACCAAGCTGACACACTGCTTCTGTCTCTTAGGACGGCAAGTTAAGATTTATCAGGGAAGCTGGACTTGGGAGTCTAGTCAGTTGCTTCTGTGTATGAAAAGTGAGCGGTCTATAGCCTCTATTTCAGTTCCTAGATGGGGAAGAAAGCTCTCACAAGAGGCTTCACTTGGCTTAGGTACATGTGTGTCTAGGAGTAAAGCTTAAAAACCCTCTTAGCTTGCTGGGGTCTCATGATGACCAGATTGTCACTGTGAACATGGTACCAAACTAAGGGGTGAGGTGAAAGGGTTTACCCTACACAATTTCCTAAAGACAATAGAAACGTGGGAGCTGTCAAAAATAACCCATGCTGATAGAGTACATGCATAGCTAGAGCAAGGCCATGAGCTGTCTCCCGTCCTCCTTCCCGCAAATTGTAAATGGCACAAATCAGTACATAATTGCAAGTTTTATTCAAGATAGAAGATAGAAACACTTATCAGTACTCTTAGTACTGATGGATTGATGAGGAACCCTCCAGTACATCAGCTGTGCATAGGTAATGACCCATCTTCAAGCCCCCACAGTAACTTGTTCACATCCAGGGGTATCTCTTGCATCCCAAGAGTTGGAGAAGTCTACTCAAGTTTTCAAACTCAAGTTCTCATCTCACTGTCTGGAGTTCTTGTATCCTCAGAATTGTCCCAGGGATTCATGCAGTGAGGCAGAGTGGATAGGAATCAGTTCATACATTATCTGTCCTACAGCCCATCTACATCCTACAGGCCCTTGACCATCAAGGCATGAACCTCTTTGGCAAATGGTCCCAGCTGCCTGAGACATCAACATTTAGTACTGACTGACCTCTAGGTCTGCTCTCAGTATCCCCCATCTCTCTCAAGGTGCCTAGAGAAAATGCTTTGTTTTTACTTTTTTTAAAATTGTGGTACCTAGATTTGAACTCAGGGCCCCACACTTGCTAGGCAGATGCTCCTGCTAAGTCATCCCTTCAGCCCTCTTCTCCTTCAGATTTCTTCAGCAAGCACAAAATTCCTATGCCTCTAACCAGTTAATCAATTGAAAAAGCCAGAAAAAAAAAATGTCTTACTCTCCTCAATCCTGTGGCATGCCCATGCCTAGGTGATGAACAGGAAGCAACTACCTGCTTGTGTGGGAAAAAGGGGTGAGAGAAAACAAGTGCACATAGGAATTTTATCCAGACACTGGATAAAACCTCCCAAGGTTTGGTCAGTAGTTCCTTTCTTGGAAACTTACTATTTGAAAGAAATATCAGAATAAAAATTTCTGAGCCACATAGCTTTTAATCCCAACACAGGTGGAGGAAGGATTATGAGTTCAGTGCTAGCCTGGACTACTTGGGTCAAAAACCAAATACTAACCAAGTTTTATTTTTCTTCACCAAAAAAGCTAGAAGTGAGCTGTGACTCAACTGATAGTGCTAGCTTTGAATGAAAAAGCTCAGAGACAGTACCCAAGCACTGAGGACCAGCACTAAAACAAACAAAAAAACCAGCCAGGTGCTGATGGCTCACACCTGTAATCCTAGCTATTCAGGAGGCTGAGATCTGAGGATCGCATTTTAAAGCCAGTCCAGGTAGGAAAGTCCATGGGACACTTATCTCCAGTTCACCACTGGAAAATTGGAAATGGTGCTGAGGCTCAAAGTGGTGTAATGCTGGCCTTGAACAAGAGAGCCTAGGGACAGCATGTAGGCCCTGAGTTCAAGCCCTACCACACAAAAAAGAGAAAAGGTAAAAGTGACTTCATGTAATTTTGAGGGTTAAAAGATGAAAAACAATTTTATACCAATTAAGGATTATATTGTTGGCTTACTTTGCTTTTTATTTTCCCAGCCTATATAAAGCCCTTGTAAACTATATGTTGTTTTTCCATCAATGGGAATAGAAACAACCATAAATTCACCAAAATCTCTTGGATTCCATCTCCTGGACAGGAATTCCAGATGTACAGAAGAACAAAACTAAGATTTTTCTTCTTTCAGAGTCTTTTCGGATCTTTAATTACGGTAATCCTTACAATATAGTTGTGGGGCTCTAAATGAGGAATAAGGCTCTGCTCAGAAGCACATAATTAAATGGAAGAAAAGCAGACAAAGCATAGTGACTTTTTTACCTTTATTTATAAAGACAACAACTAACAAAGATGTGAATACACATTCCAAGGAGTGCATTAAAACAACAGAACTGGGGAAAACAATGGACCTTGTCTGTGTAGCCAACTCACAAACACTTCAAAGACAGGAAGAGATCTTGAGCTGGAGGACCCCAGTCCACACAAAGTAGAAAGTGCATTGCTGCCTTCAGTCTTCAGCATCATCAAACTGTCCCGTTTCAAAGACCATTTTTGAATAATGGGGTATCAGTGGAGGTGGGTGGTGCCAACTGGGATCATAGACCATGTCTCCTTGTGGGGCACAGCGCACCCATGGTTTGATCTCTTGAGAAATGCTCCCCTGGATATCATCAGCATCTGCAGGCAGTTTCAAAAGAAAGGTTGATGGAAGGATAGAAGATGAACAGGTTGCTAAAAAAAAAAAAAAAAAGCTAGGGGGCAAAACTTTTGTGTAGTGACATGTGCTATGTATGGCTGTAGACACAAATTGCAGACATGATTACTCTGAATCACCTGTTTGTGGTTCTCAGCAGTGAGGAAGCAAGTGGATGTCAGAGCACCTATATCTGCAGCCTCTCAGTTCAAAGGTTTTTAGAGGAGTAAAATTGTTTTTCATGTAGTATATTGTGGAGTCAATTTTTTAAAATCTTCAATATGAAAAAGAAGCTATCATAGATACTTCAGACCTGGGATGAGTATGAGGGTGAGTTCATACACTTGGCTCCCTCTTCCAAATTATTTGCCTTCAGGACTTGTCTGAGAAGCTCTGGCTCAGGACCCCAGGAATTCCATACCTACCATAAGGATTCCCTTGATCTGCTTTCAACTCCAAGTCCCAGTCTTCATTAAAAAGATCAGCAGTCTGTTCCCTGGGTGGACAGCGTGTTTCTTCTGATAGCTCCCAGGCCTTCAGTTCCCCATCAGCCTCCTCAGCAAAGCCTTCCTCTCCACAGTGTGTGCCCTTGCCATGGGTACAAATATCACTATGGGTGCTTTGGGCTCCACTGGCTAAGAAATCAACAGGAGGAAGGTCTTAAAACTGATAAAGCAGTAAAGGCCTGCTCTGTGCTTGGAAAACATTTGGTTGACTTGCTAGGGAGATAGTTTAAAACAAGTATACAGAGTGTGTGAGTTACCTGAGCACTTAAGAAAATGTTTGGTTTATGTTTTTAGAAGTAGATAATTTTTCAGTAAGATACTTTGTCTTAAACAAGGCCACAAATTGCCAGGTCCTAATAGTTCAACAGCAAGCCAAGCATGGCTGACATTTTTAGGTGGTTTACACATCACTGTGCCCAAGGGCCTCTGACAGATGTTACACTTTTACAATCCAGGCCTGTGCTGCATTTTGCTCTTCAGTTCTTCCCTTTGAAGGCTTCTAAGAACATGAGAGGTAAGTGCAGATGAAATGAGGAATGGTTTTGCAGAGAAAAGGGCAGGCCCCATCCGATCACAATGGACAGCCTCCATGTTCCCCCCATCCCAACATTGGGAAAGCCAGAAGGCACACTGCCAAAAGGTCTTTCAATGGAAGAAAGCCTAGGAAGGATAATGGACATCCGAGCAGAGTGCTATGTGATACCAATTGGGAGGTAGGAAAGGATTCAGTTGTTAAGCATCTAACACTATACTAACAATAGCTATAAGCAATGAACTAACAGTTTTAGAGTATAGGGATAGATTCTGTTTCTGCTTAGGTTCTGGCCTGTCAGTTACTAAATATGTAACTCAGCTGAAATTTACTTAACCTATTCCTCAATAACTGAAACACAGAATTACCTTATGATTCAGCAGTTCCACTCCTAAATAAAGAACTAAAAGCAGTATTAAGCAAAACAAGGATGTTCATGGAAACACTATTCAGTCACCAAAAGGCAGACCATACTGAATGTCCATCAGTGGAGGAATGATAGATGAAGTTTGCTACATCCAATGGATTTGTCAGACACAAAAAGAATGAAATGCTGATTTACCCTGCAACATGAATGAACCTTGAAAATACGCTGAGTCAAAAGAAGCTGAACTATTTACACTTAACTAGGCAGAACAGGTAAATTAAGAGACAGAAGTAGATTACTGGTTATGGTTCAAGAAGGGGATGACTACTTAATAGGTACAGGATTTCCTTTGGGTGATGAAAACATTCTAAAACTAGGTAGTGGTGATAGTTTGGTACACAGTGTAATTGTGCTAATGTGCCATAAAACGACAAGCTTTAAAATAGCCAAGCGGCAAATTTATGTGTCCTTTACCTCAACTGAAAAATATTTTTTATTCTATGTCTCCATTTCTTCATCTGCAAAATGGATGCAGTGAAATTTAGATCAAAGGAAAAGGAAAAAGAAACACTTAGCAAGAGCTGTGGTTAACACACAATGAGTATGCAGTGTTAGCTGCACTGATTACCCATTCTAAACTAACACTGTCCAATACAGCTTCCTACAAGGACAATATTCTATAGTCTGTGCTGTTCAACATTATTAGCCACCCACAAAATGTGACCAGCAGCCAGGTGTGGTGGCTCACGCCTGTCATCCTAGCTACTCAGGAGGCTGAGATCCGAGGATTGTGGTTCAGCACCAGCCCGGGCAGGAAAGTCCATGAGACTTTTATCTCCAATAAACCACCAGAAAACTGGAAGTGGCACTGTGGCTCAAGTGGTAGAGCGCTAGCCTTGAGCTGAAGAGCTGAGGGACAGTGCCCAGGCCCAGAGTTCAAGCCCCACAACCGACCAAAAAAAAAAGAGTGACCAGCATAACTACAGAGCTTAATTTCTCTTGAGTACAGAGCTTAAATTTACATAGCATCAGTGGCTTAGAGAGTAATGCATCAGACAGTTTTGGTCAAGATCCTCTCATTCAATCCTCAGAAAAACCCTAGGAAATAGGCATTATCAGCCAATTTAAAAGATAAAGGCAAAGTGACAAAACTCAAGTCTGGACTCTGACTAAAAACAATTATGCCTAACTTCAAAGCCTCTTCACTGTTAAAAGCTGTTTCTCTCAATAGAAGGGGTAGATCTAGATTTAAGAAAAGTCTTGGACTTCCTTGAGGAAAATCCAGTAGAGCTTCTAAACAAGGGATCTGTTGAAGCACTGGACAGAGAGGACTCAGCATCCAAGAGGCTGTCCAGAGAAAAAAAGGTGCCCAAAGACATAAGGATTCTCTTTTTGCCTCTCCCATCTCTCCCAACCACCCAACTCACTATCTACTTGCCTAGTTGATCCGTGGTGGTTTCACTCTCTCTCTTCTGACCACAATGGTAATCTGTGGCAAAGCCAGCCTGTGGAAGAAGAAATAATTACCAGCAACTTGGGTATCTGGAACATAACAGAAAGCCATTGACCCCATATCCACTATTCTTTTTTTTTTGGGTCCGGTCGTAGGGTCTGAACTCTGGGCCTGGGCACTGTCCCTCAGCTCTTCAGCTCAAGGCTAGCGCTCTACCACTTGAGCCATGGTGCCACTTCTGGCTTTTTTCTTTTTGCTTATGTGGTGCTGAGGAATCGAACCCAGGGCCTTAGGCATGCAAGGCAAGCGCTCTACCACTGAGCCACCTTCTCAGCCCCCATATCCACTATTCTATATGGCCCTTGATGATGCAAAGCTGGGATCCTGCACCCCACATTTCTGCTTTGCCAGCAACAGTTCTCCATCAATGCAGAGTGTGCCTTCCTGTAATGCCCAATGTAAGTCAGAAGCCAGCTTTACCAACACTTGCACAGCCTTGTCACTGGGTCTTTTCAGAGATTTAAGTTCCAGAACCTCTTTTCCAAGCTTAAGAGATTCCAGTGCCAGCTAGGGTAGCACCCTATCCTCAAAGCCTGGAATTTCTGCACTGCGAAGCCTTTTGACTAAGCTCATAAAACTTAACCAGGCTGGGAAGGTGGCTCAGTGGTAGAGTGCTTGCCTTGCATGCATGAGGCCCTGGGTTCGATTCCTCAGCACCACATAAGCAGGAAAAAAAAGCAGGAAGTGGCACTGTGACTCAAGTGGTAGAGTGCTAGCCTTGAGCTGAAGGGCTGAGGGACAGTGCCCACGCCCAGAGTTCAGGCCCCACGATCGGACCAAAAACAAAAAAACAACCATCATCCATTTCTTTTCTCAGCTATAGAGTTGGTGCTGTTTCTCCAGTTAGTTTCTGGCCTTTTTTTTCCTTTTGTCAGTTGTGGGGCATGAACTCTGGGCCTGGCCACTGCGCTGTCCCTCAGCTCTTCAGCTCAAGGATAGCTCTACCACATAAGCCACAGCACCACTTCCGGTTTTCTGGTGGTTTATTGGAGATCAGAGTCTCACGGACTTTCCCGCCTGGCTGGCTTTGAACCTCGATCCTCAGATCTCGGCCTCCTGAATAGCTAGGTGACAGGTGTGAGCCACCAGCGTCCAGTTCATCATTTTATTTTTGACTTTAAAGTTGCTTATCTTTATATCTAGTCCACAACGAACAAAGTCTGTCTCCTCACTAAATATGAGAGAGATGGGCCTTTAGTTGCACTGCAAAGCTAAATGCTGAAGTACTTGCATACCCCATAGTCAACCATATACTTCTCTGCCTATTACTTAAACACCCTAAAGCCCTGTGGCCTCCAAGCCCTCTCCAGTGCATGGAGAAATGTTCACCATTTACACATCAGTTCTTTGTCTGCCACCCTCTCTGGGGGCCGGGAGTGCCGGCTCTGCCTTGCAGAGCGCTGGTAACCAAGCATTTAGGGAAGACGGGCAGCGGGGAACAGGAGTGTACTATGTCTTGGGTTTGCGCTCACCTGTCAAGAGGGAGTACGATCGTGTATGGAATAGAATGGAACCCACTGCTTTTCACAGTCTGCGCGAAGAAAGCATCAAGTTCACTGCGCTAATTAACACCGGTCACCGCGTCACCCCGTGTTGAGCTGCCCGCCGGAGGGCCCCGACCACCCCCCCCCCCCGCCCCACCTTGCCCGGCCTAACAGGGAAGAAGCACTGCGGGCCTCAAAGCCTCTGCAGCCGTCCCGCCACCGCCCGGCCCGAGGTGCCGTCCACGGGCTGGACGCGGGCCAGGCCGGGCCACTCCAACCTCGTCACCGGTCACCCGGGCGCGGGCACCCGGCGCAGCCCTGCGCCGCACGGCCACTGTCCCACGAGCCCCCGGCGACGTCGCTCCGCTCCGGGCGAGTGCCCTCCCTGAGGCGCCTCGGCCGGCCGGACAAGGCGACGGGAAAGAAGTTTCTGGAAGCCCCACGTCAAAGGCGGCCTTGGGCTCCCACTACCAGCACAGTTGACCTCCGAGGCCCGTCCTCGCCTCCCCGGCCCCACCTGCTGTCCGCCGAGCCGCCGGTACTGCAGCCCTCCCTGCCCGCCCGCCCCGGGCCGGCAGCCGTTACCCGCCCGGGCACGCGCCCCGTCAGCGCTGCGCGTTCCGGCGGCCCCCGCCCCGCCCCTTTCCGCGCCGGGCCTCCGGCGATGGCCGCACCCGGCCCCGCGGCGCTCACCTCCAGCCCGGGGAGAGACGCCCTCGCGCTGGGCAGCGGGGCGCCCGGAGGCGGCCCCGCGACTCTCGGCGCCAGGGTCCCGCTCGCTAGAGGATCCATGCCGGGCTCCCACCGCCCGGCGCCACAGACGCTGCTCGACCACGTGACGCGCGGGCCGGGCCGCCAGCTCACGGGGACAAACGGAGGGGCCAATCAGCGGGGGCGCTGGCGGGATGGGGGCGGGGCCAGGAGGGGCGGGGCCTGAGGGGACCGGGGGCGGTGGACCCCGCCCACCTGCCTCAGGACCGCCGGGCCTGGGTACCCGAGAAGCTCCCGCAGATCGTAGCCTGGCGTGAGACGGCAGGCGTCACCGCCCCCTTCCCGCCCCCGGCCGGGCTGGCGGAGCCTCAGCTCCAGCTCCTCAGGCTCCCTCCGGACCTGTCAGAGCCAGGGAAGCTCCGACCACAGTCGCCCTGCGCCTGCCCTGGGCTTCCGAGAACGAAGGTGCAAGTGGACTGACAGTCTACCAGGCCCGTCGCCTCCCGGAACGTGCTGGAAGCGGGGACAGAGGGTGAGAGCCAGTATGCAGTGGATGGAGGCCGGGGCCGGGGGCGGGGGTCGGGGACGGCGCCGGCCCGATGGCAGAGGCCCCCGGAGGGCGGAGGGCCTGCGCGTCCCCAGCCGAGCTCGGGTCACCGCTGCCCATCCCGCACGGCCGCCGAGGCCTCGGAAGCTCGGGAGAGCCTGGCTCCCTGCTCGGCCGCAGCCCTCACCTCCTCCCGGTGGCCGTGGAGAATCGGGTGGCGCCCCACTCCGGCAGCGAGTCTTCCCTCCGCGGACCGCGACCCGTTGATGCCCACTCGGTTCCGCGGACCCCAGGCGCTGCCGGCGCGGTCTGCCGCTGGTGCGGTCCTGCGTGCGGTGGCCGCGCCCACCGAGACTGGAATGCCCGCCTGAGACTCCGCTTTCCTTCAGACGTGAAGTGCCACACGCCGCGGCAATTGTCACCTCAGAAGCCAGCGCCAGTCAGGTGCATTTTCATCACCAGCACTGGGAACGGATACAGGATGAGACCACCAGCACGGGTCGCCACGAAGGGGCCTCCGCTCCTCTCCCTACCCTGTGGGTAACACATCTCTTTGCTAAAACAAGAATTCCAGGTAAGATTTAGAAAAGTGAACCTCTTAAGCAGCTTGTGAGGAAACAGGCAACATTCTCTTACAAGGAACGAGAAGCAAACAACACTCAGAGTCCAAAAGCACAAAATAACTATCTCCCTCTTACTTTATGCATCGGATTCAATAGGCACTGAACATGGTAGGCAAAAAAGTACTGAATTTATAGGCAAAAAGGACTCGCCAAGTAAGGTTAGAAAAATTAGTTAACTTTGGCAGGGGGAACAATGTTATCTTCAACAAGAGGAAAAGTTTGTTTTGTTGGCGTGTCGTGCGGTTTCAACTTTGGGCCTGGGAGCTATCCCTGGGCTCTTCAGTTCAAGGCCAGCCCTCTACCACCTGAACCACAGTGCTGGTGGTTAATTAGGGATAAGTCTCAGGGACTTTGCTGCCTGCCAGTGGAGCCTGGCAGGAAAATTTGGTGGGGGGGAGCTTTAAAAAAAATTTTTGTCATGGGGCATGAACTCAGGGCCTGGGTAAAAGGAAGAATTTTGAAAGCCTTAAAAAAAAACACACATTAAGCAGGTGTCAGTGGTTCACACCTGTCAGCTACTTAGAAGGCTGAGATCTGAGGATCTCGGTTAAAAGCCAGCCTGAGAAGGAAAGTCCATGAGACTCTTATCTCCAATAAACCACCAGAAAACTGGAAGTGGCACTGAGGCTCAAGTGGAAGAGCACTCACCTTGAGCTGAAGAGCTGAGGGATAGCGCCCAGGCCCAGTGTTCAAAGCCCCACGACTGACAACAACAACAACACATTAAACAGACATCAAACACATAAAAATGCTCTGGACATCAAAAACACCACAAAAGAGATTCAGGGATTGAAATTATTTGCAACAAATGAGAGACAGGCAAAAGATTAATGACATATTATTTTACTTATTAACATGGCTAAAATAAAAAATGACAGTGCAGGCAAAGGTGTTGTCACTTTCATTATAAAGCTTGGAAGAAGGAACAAATCAGCAATATGTATCAATATTCTCTTTCATATCCTTTGACTCAGTGAATATACTGTCTCCTACTAGCCATGAATGTGACCAAAGATTGACAAGAATCATAAATACCTGGTATAAACAGGAAAAATTAAAAAATGACAAGGTCTAACCATAGGGTATGAGTACATTAAGTTAATGACTCATTTTTATGATAGAACGTTATGCTTTAACACTTTAATGTCAGCAAATATATTTATAAAAGTAAAAAAGTCAGAGCTGGGCACTGGTGGCTCATGCCTGTAATCCTAGCTACTAAGGAGGCTGAGATCTGAGAATCACCATTCAAAGCCAGCCCGGAAAAGTCTGTGAGACTCTTGTCACCAATATACCATTAGAAAACCAGAAGTGGTGCTGTGGCTCAAGTGGTAGAGTGCTCACCTTGAGCTGAAGAGCTCAAGGACAGTGTCCAAGCCCAGAGTTCAAGCCCCATGACCTACAAAAGAAAAAAAAGTAAAAAAAAATCACTGATAACTTTTCCTAGTGACATCATAATGTTAAGGACATATTTCAAATAATACTCTCTCCTGCTTCCAGAATGACTTTGCTCCAGTACACCATTCTTTCCTCCCCACTAAGGCCCTACTGCACAGCTTTGACCAATCCTGTTCTTGTGTTGTTGCTGGACCTGACAATGTGCAGACCTTAAGACTGACATTTATTTATTTATTTATTTTTGGGGTCTGGTCATGGGGCCTGAACCCTGGACCTGGGCGCTGTCCCTCAGCTCTTCAGCTCAAGGCTAGCACTCTACCACTTGAGCCAGAGCGCTACTTCTGGCTTTGTTTTCCTGCTTATGTGGTGCTGAGGAATCGAACGTAGGGCCTCGTGCATGCAAGGCAAGCGCTCTACCACTGAGCCACTTTCCCAGCCCCAAGACTGACATTTTTATACCGTCCTTTTTGTTTTTGTTTTTGTTTTTTTTGGGCGGGGGGTCCGGTCGTGGGGCCTGAACTCTGGGCCTGGACGCTGTCCCTCAAGGCTAGCGCTCTACCACTTGAGCCACAGCACCACTTCTGGCTTTTTTCTTTTTGCTTATGTGGTGCTGAGGAATCGAACTCAGGGCCTCAGGCATGCAAGGCAAGCGCTCTACCACTGAGCCACCTTCCTAGCCCAAACATTGTGATTATTATTATTTTTTTGGTTGGTCGTGGGGCCTGAACTCTGGGCCTAGACGCTGTCACTCGGCTCTTCAGCTCAAGGCAAGTGCTCTACCACTGAGCCACCTTCCCAGCCTTACTGTCTTTTTTTTTTTTTGTCGGTCATGGGGCTTGAACTCTGGGCTTGAGTGCTATCCCTCAGCTGTTCAGCCCAAGGCGAGCTCTGTGGCTTGAGCCACAGCACCACTTCCAGTTTTCTAGTGGTTTACTGGAGATAAGAGTCTCGTACTTTCCTGCCCCGGCTGGCTTTGAACCATGAACTTCCATCTCAGCCTCCTGAGTAGCTAGGATTACAGATGAGCCACTGGATGCCCAGCTGTATACTGTCTTAATCTTCTTAAAAGAAAAACATTCACTGATACCCAGGTGCTTCCTTCCCTGCTGATCACAGTAACAACTTTTTTTCCAGTCCTGAACTACATCCCCACATCCTCCCTTTGTTCCCGCACAAAATGAGTACTATACATATTTTTCTTTTTTTAAATTTTCTTAGAACATTTGTCTTTGTTTTACCAGTCTGTAGCTGGAACTCGTCTCTGAGCACGGTCCCTGCGTGTCTTTGTACTCAAGACTAGTGCTCTATGACTTGAACCACAGCACCATTTCTGGCTTTTTCTGAGTATGCAGTTTACTGGAGATAAGAGTCTCACGACTTTCCTGCCTGGGCTGACTTTGAGCTGAGATCCTCAGATCTCAGCCTCCTGAGTAGCTAGGATTACAGGCATGAGCCACTAGTGCCTGGCCTCAGAACAGGTTTTAAAATTTTGTTTTTACTGTTATTATAAAGGTGATATAGCCAGGTGTTGGTGGCTCATACCGGTAATCCTAGCTACTCAGGAGGCCAGTTTGGGCAGAAAAGTCTGTGAGACACTTATCGCCAATAAACCACTCAGAAAACTGGAAGAGGTGATGTGGCTCAAGTGGTAGAGCGCTAGACCCAGAGTTCAAGCCCCATGACAGACAAAAAATAAATAAATAAATAAAGGTGATGTATAGAGCGATTACAGTTACATAATTCAGGTAAAGAGTGCATTTCTTTTTGGGCAATGTCACCCTTTTTCTCACTCGCTAAACATTTCTTTTTTTACTTTGTTTTTAATTGTATATGCCTTGGAATAAATATTATTAGATAATGCAATTGTATAAGATGTTCCAAGTGCCACGCACCAATGGTGCACACCTGTAATCCTAGCTACTCAGGAGGCTGAGATCTGAGGATCATGGTTCAAAGCCAGCCCGGGCAGGAAAGTCTGTGAGACTCTTAACTCCAATTAACCACTAGAAAACAGGAAGTGGTGCTGTGGCTCAAATGGTAGAGTGCTCGCCTTGAGCTGAGGAGCTCAGGGACAGTTCAAGCCCTACAGCTGACAAAAAAAAAAAAGCGCTTGGCAGTGGTGGCTCATTCCTGTGATCCTAGCTACTTGGAGCTATCCTGGGCAGGAAACAGGAAAGTCTATGAGACTCATCTCCACTAAACTACAAAAAAGCAGAAGTTGAGCTGTGGCTTAAGTAGTAGATTGCTATACCATTGAGGAAAAAAGCTCAGGGACAGCCCACAGACCCTGAGTACAAGCTCTACAGCACACGCGCGCACACGCACACCGCGCGCGCGCACACACACACACACACACACACACACACACACCATGAAAGAAAGTTTTCAAATTAAACAGCCTAACTTTATAATTTATGGAACTAGAAAATTAATTCAAAGCTAGTAGAAGGGAAGGCATAATAAAGATCAGAACATAAATCAGTCCAATAAAGCATAGAAAAAAAGTTAACTCAATGGAACAGTTTTTCTTTAAAAAGAT